GTCAACATTGCTCCGGCTAACGTGTCAACATTGCTCCGGCTAACGTGTCAACATTGCTCCGGCTAACGTGTCAACATTGCTCCGGCTAACGTGTCAACATTGCTCCGGCTAACGTGTCAACATTGCTCCGGCTAACGTGTCAACATTGCTCCGGCTAACGTGTCAACATTGCTCCGGCTAACGTGTCAACATTGCTCCGGCTAACGTGTCAACATTGCTCCGGCTAACGTGTCAACATTGCTCCGGCTAACGTGTCAACATTGCTCCGGCTAACGTGTCAACATTGCTCCGGCTAACGTGTCAACATTGCTCCGGCTAACGTGTCAACATTGCTCCGGCTAACGTGTCAACATTGCTCCGGCTAACGTGTCAACATTGCTCCGGCTAACGTGTCAACATTGCTCCGGCTAACGTGTCAACATTGCTCCGGCTAACGTGTCAACATTGCTCCGGCTAACGTGTCAACATTGCTCCGGCTAACGTGTCAACATTGCTCCGGCTAACGTGTCAACATTGCTCCGGCTAACGTGTCAACATTGCTCCGGCTAACGTGTCAACATTGCTCCGGCTAACGTGTCAACATTGCTCCGGCTAACGTGTCAACATTGCTCCGGCTAACGTGTCAACATTGCTCCGGCTAACGTGTCAACATTGCTCCGGCTAACGTGTCAACATTGCTCCGGCTAACGTGTCAACATTGCTCCGGCTAACGTGTCAACATTGCTCCGGCTAACGTGTCAACATTGCTCCGGCTAACGTGTCAACATTGCTCCGGCTAACGTGTCAACATTGCTCCGGCTAACGTGTCAACATTGCTCCGGCTAACGTGTCAACATTGCTCCGGCTAACGTGTCAACATTGCTCCGGCTAACGTGTCAACATTGCTCCGGCTAACGTGTCAACATTGCTCCGGCTAACGTGTCAACATTGCTCCGGCTAACGTGTCAACATTGCTCCGGCTAACGTGTCAACATTGCTCCGGCTAACGTGTCAACATTGCTCCGGCTAACGTGTCAACATTGCTCCGGCGAACGTGTCACATCAACCTCGTTTGGTGGCGGATTAGTAACGAGAGAGCTTGGAAGCTCAGGGCCCTACGCTATGCTTTTTTGCCTTGGTGACCTACACAAAAAAAAAGCATAGCATGTTATAAATTCTTTAAAAAATTCCTTTTTTTTAGACATAACCTGGGATTCGAACCCGCACTATCGCGCGCCCTGCATTCATCCCCCGATGCACTTCGCATACATACTAATTCTTCCAAGTTGTTTCACATTGTGATCTTGCATTTGAAAGCCCTATTTGAGTTATATGCATTGTGGCCAGCCGTCTTTGATGGCACGGTACGGTAGGGGATAGGGACGGGACAGGTACGATCGAGGGTAATACGACACCGTCTCCCGTACCGTACCGTACCATCAAACACAGCTGGCCACATACAGCTTCCCGCAATATTCAAATAGGGCTTTCAAACGCAAGATAATAACGTAACGCAACTTGGAAGAATGGGTATGAATGCGAAGTGTATGGGGGAATGCATGTAGGGCGATAGTGCGGGTTCGAATCCCAGGATATGCCTGAAAAAAAGGAGAATTGAAAAATTTATAACATCCTATGCTTTTTTGCCGTCAGATACGGATAGCGCCAGGCGTGACACAAACAAACACACAAACAAACACCAAATTAAAGCTGTGTGGACCCTGGCTAGCGCCAGACGTTACTGAAGTAACGTCTTCTGCATAGCTACGGGAACGAGAGAGCTTGGAAGCTCAGGGCCCTGCGCTATGCTTTGTTGCCTAGCTCATCGTGCATGTTGTTAGAACTGATGGAAATGCTTTTTCCTTTGATTAGCTACATCATTGTATTGCGAAAACGTTTCAATGAGATACTGAAGTAACGTCTTCTGCATAGCTATGGGAGCGGCGCTGAATCTGCCGATTACGGGCGTTCTGGAGTTGACGGGATGTCTGTCCTGACGTTTCCTGGGACTGGCGCTGACTCTGCCGATCACGGACGTTCTTCTTCTTCTTATTATTATACTGACGGCAACTAACATCCATTCTGATTGCATTTACTCGTCTCCCTACTTCGTAGTTCTTTCTAGAAAATCTCCTCATACAGCAGGGAGTCGTTTACATTATGACTCCCTGCTAAAGATCTACATGACTGTATATACGTTATAAGTATTATGCTATCGGCCTACATGCGATTCCCGGGCTGGTCGACAGGCGGCCCAACCAGCCTGCTAGTGGGATCTCGGCCTCGCACACAAATCCACACAAAATGTTACTGCACTGAATGCATTCCCCCGATACACTTCGCATATATACTCATTCTATTGTTGGTACCGTACCCTTGATGGTACGGGACAGGTACGGGATAGCGCCAGGCATTTCGATGGCACAAACAAACAAAAATATCGGGGCCAGCTGTCTTTGCTAGTACGGTACAGTACGGGACAGATACGGGATAGCGCAAGGCGTGACACAAACAAACAAACAAACAAACAAACAAATAAACAAACAAACAAACAAACAAACACCAAATTAAAGCTGTGTGGACCCTGGCTAGCGCCAGACGTTACTGAAGTAACGTCTTCTACATAGCTACGGGAATAAACACAATTGGCATGAGTGCACGGCACCATTTTGCTTCTTGTTGCTGAAGCGGCACACTTACCTGGACATTGCCTGTAGGGACATGCCCCCAGCTCAGTGGGGACTCCTATACATGGATTGGTATAGAATGCCCATGCCACCTGACATGAACGGTGCCGAGTTCGAATACCAGCTCTGCACCTAGCCGGACATGGCGACCATGTGCTCCATGGTTCCCACACGCTTCCGTCAACTGCAACTGCACAAACACGTGTACGCACATACACACATATACATACGCACATACACATGCACAAACACATATACACACACACCCATACACACACACCATGTACCATGTATACGCCCGTCGCAAGAGAAGCACCCAAATCTGCAAATGCACTGGATGTGCACCCACAGATTTTCTCTTACAGCAACGATAGCGAACACGATCTGAATGAGACAGATCAAGATTTGCGCCAGATAACTGTCTAATCCGCACAACTGGCGACGCCATGTGAATCGACCACCAATGCACACCTGGTCTACACCACACGGAGTAGATCGGCATAAAACGGCCAAGACAGTTTTACCTATGCACACCCTACACTTGCTGGGGTAACCAGTATAGACAGCACGCTGCTTTGATAGAAGCAGACACTAGACTAGAGTGATGCGGCAGCGGGCTGGATTTCATTCAACAGCACTGTAGTACAGCAGCAGCTCACCGACCCAAGCCAGACCAACATCAATGTACACATAGATCAACGTACATGATGTATTGCGTAATATTATGTAGCTAGGAACACTAATCTTCCACACTTACCATGCACTGTGCTCAGAACTAACAGCAGACCAACTGCAATCAGCTGCCCAGCGCGAGCACCTCCATTGCTAGCCGCCATTCTGCCTCCTCGTCTTGTTCCACACAGACACAGCAACTAACGTTAGTACTTGAGCACCAACAGCAACCGCCCAGGAGGTATAAACTGTTCGGTGAGAATAGACTAGCGATCCTGTTCGCGATGACGGCTAGCAGCGCATTGGTCTGGGTGAAGGGGACGTCTTGTGCAGGTTACCGCAGAACCGTCAGATCTGTCATTATTCGTGCTATTATTAGCTATGTCTGTTGACAATTCTTCGACTCACCGGACCGCTGAGGACGTGAGTCGTTGTGCTGGCACCTGACTTCTGAAGGATTAGACGTGATGGCTACCAAGTCAACGGTGGTTTCGGTAGCATGCTTGACAGCTCCTCACGAGCACAACTAATAATTGTTTCTCGTCAAAACTGCCTGTTCTGCACCTGTTCTGCATTCCGCCTTCAGGCCAAAACGAGACTCAGATCGACGGCGCATGGCACTTGTTGGAGACGTTAGTATGTTGGACAATAACTCTGCCTGATCTGGGTTTCTCTCGATACAGAGCAGCAGCCACGACGTCGAAAGCACTGACCGTAACTCCAGAGGCCGAGACAGGCTCAGTGCGGCCCCTTCCAACACCCACGCCACGGGCGGCATGCTCAAAGGTTGCCTTCTCTCAGTGTTGTAGGAGCGCGCTTCTTCCTGGTCACTTGTTGTTGTTGAATAATATCCGCATTCGCGATTCAAACGGGCAAATGACTGTATCTATGGCATGAATGCGAATATACACGTAGAAAGTAAATAGCGAAAGTGAATAGCAGAAGCCAAGGTGCTTTGATACAGACGCACCTGCCTGCCTTGGAACTGTCGTCCAGATAACAACAGACTTCCAGATGATGGAACATTCTCCTCGGCAAGCCTGGATTGTGGAAGAAAATACCACTCTCTGCTTGAGTATTTTTTAGACGGTGTTTCGAATTTACCCCTCATATGAGCAGATAAGCTCGATTAGGCTAACGAAATAATTGTGCACCAAGGATACCAACTACTTACTGACAAAGATGCTCCGTTTTCAGCACGACAAACACCTCGCGGGCGACCTTCGGGAAAACTAACTACTTACTTGTCGCCTTCTACATTGTAGCTAAGTAGTAAGGGCGCGGTCACACATGCACTAGGATTCGCTTCGGCGACGAGGTTCGGCGGCAGCGAGCCTGGTGTCGCTCCAGCGAAACCACGTGTGTATGGTCACACATACAAACAGGGCACAACTCCTACTTTGGCGGAAAATGAGACTGTGGTGCATACGGTACGGAGAATAGACGAGGTCAATGACTATCTTGCACGCATTTTTGTTGCATGGACATCATACGCATACAAATTTCTCGTAGCAAGTCCATATACAGCAGACCGTCGTGTTTTCCGCTGAAGCGAATCCGCAGAAGCGACAGTCTCGCTTCGAAAATTTTGGAGGAAGCGGATTGGAGTTTCCGCTGAAGCGGAAGTTCCGCTTTTCGCAGTTGCCATGCCATTTTTCGCTCCTGCGACCTCGCTTCAGCGTATACGCTACTTTCGAGTGCATGTGTGACCGGGCCCTTACGGTACGCTCGTACTCATAATTCCCCACTGAGCACAACAGAGGCTGAGCACGACAGTTAGAACTACGAGGTGGCAACCTGGGTAATCATCTAGTTTGGGGGGGGGGGGTAGGGCCCGGTCACACATGAACTGGGATTCGCTTCGGCGACGAGGTTCGGCGGCAGCGAGCCTGGTGTCACTCCAGCGAAACCACGTGTGCATGGTCACACATGCAAACAGGGCACAACTCCTACTTTGGCGGAAAAATGGACTGTGGTGCATACGGTACGGAGAATAGACGAGGTCAATGACTATCTTGCACGCATTTTTGTTGCATGGACATCATACGCATACAAATTTCTCGTAGCAAGTCCATATACATGTACAGCAGACCGTGGTGTTTTCCGCTGAAGCGAATCCGCAGGAGCGACAGTCTCGCTTCGAAAATTTTGGCGGAAGCGGATTGGAGTTTCCGCTGAAGCGGAAGTTCCGCTTTTCGCCGTTGCCATGCCATTTTTCGCTCCTGCGACCTCGCTTCAGCGTATACGCTACTTTCGAGTGCATGTGTGACCGGGCCCTAAGGGACCATCGCAAAAGTTCGCAGAAGCCCCCGAAACGAAGACCGTGAGTTTCGGGCCTGCCCCCCTCCCTCCCCCCTCAAACGAAACGACATTCACAATATGGGCTTCATTATTTCACTTGGGGCATGTTCGATTGGTAGGATCGGGATCCCGATCCACCGGATCCACTGGATTCGCACCCTTTCGATTGGTCGAATCTGGATCCGGATCCTTCGGATTTGGATCCGGTCAACCCACCTCGGGGAGCAGGGTTGACCGGATCCAACGGATCCAAATGTGACCTTTGTGCGTATATGGCGGGTAAAAATCGTTTTTGTACACATTGTGGTACGCACACGTGGATCGAGATAGACCTTGCTGACTTTTTGTACAACTGGCGCGGTGAGTACGACTTTTTATTACTTTCGTCAACATGGCAACAGTCAAGGCCCAAAAAAGTGTCCAGTTGACTCTGCAGGATCCGACGGATCTGAGATCTGGATCCCGATCCCGATCCTTACCAATCGAACATGCCCTAGGATGCTGCACACATAATATTTATACTACACAGCAGGGGTTCATAAACCCTATCATATCATCGGCCTATGAACCCCTGCTACTAGTGCTAGTACTAGTACTAGCAAGAGTCCATAAACCACGCGTTTTATGGACTCTTGGTGCTAGACTACACACAGTGTACAGGCAGCCAGCTACGCGACACGCGCATGACTACGCGTCCTGACAAGCGATCTACGCCGGCTGTGATGGCATGCTAATCTATATCAGCTCCTACATGTCGTCAATACTTTTTTGAATTGAAGCCCGGTTTGCGATTTTCGACACGACTCCCTCCCCCCAAAACGTATGCTCTTCGTTTCAGGGGCTTCTGCGAACTTTTGCGATGGTCCCTTAGGGTCCCAAATTATTTCGCACTTTCCCAGTGTTCTGTGTACTTTCTGTGTACTTGAGAGCGTGGTTGAGTGTGTTTCGAAGTTTTGTGTCCTTAGAGTTGTTTCCTTTGACTTTGTGGTATTGACGTCGGCGATGATTGTAGCAAGGACAATACGACTTACGAGGGGTCGTGGCCTCCCGACGTAGGAGCGAGCGCTAGCGATTCTTCCCGCCGACTTGACACTTTGTCGTCGCGAAAAGGTCCTCGATCTTTTTATTTCGATCAGGGCCCGGAGTCATAAACATGGTAAGAGCCCAGTACAATCATGTACCCTGTGTACCTGAGTAGATCTAGACTACAGCCACTTATACAGGGCTTTTAGTTTTACCATGTTTACGACTCCCGGCCCTGCCCCTGGCCTGGTTTCGATGCATTGAGCCTTTGAGGACCTTTTTTGTCACAACATTATTTTTCAGTTGGATACAGACCACGTATACAAGTCATGTAACACTAACACAGTAACAGTGAAGTACATACATGTAATCATTGTACTACAAAAAGCATGGAGTCGTCAAATACGTTGACGACTCCATGGTTACGAATAGTCTCGGACGATCCTTGAGAAGTGCGCAGGCTTGCGGGGCTGAGAGCTAGAGTGAGACGGGTAGATCTACGGGCGATGGACGTAGAATCTAGGTAGGTAGGTACATAGGTAGGTACATTTTTATTTGAATTCGCAGAACCAAACGGGCAATCTACCGAATCGATCTACCGGTCGACGGTCTACCATAATCCATTACAGTTAGTGTAGACCTACTACTACTACTACAGTGCATTCTGGCAACTGAAATCCGACCCCCTGGGCGGGGCACCGCGCCGCCAAGGGGGTCGGATTTCAGTTGCCAGCATGCACTGTAGTAGTAGTACAGTCAACTTCGCTAATAACGACTGCGGATATAACGACAATTCGCGAATAACGACACAATTTCCATGCCCAGAGCAAAGTCCCATCCAACTGTAATACATAATGAGACTTCGGGTATAAGGCGAGACCAAAAAAAAATAGAGATTCCCGGGCCCTCCCGCACCAAAATCGAGCCAAAGCCAATTTTTTTGTTTTTTGAGCAGTTCATACATGTACAGTACTGATCATGTGAGTAGATCTGTGATGTGGAGTCACACAAACCCGGGCTTGTACGACTCCCCGATATACAGATCAGGGCAATTGTTGGCCGAAATACAGAAAAATAATCGAACGGGTAAACCGCGTACCTGTTTTCTGTAAAAAAAATGAATAAAACTTACCGGAAAATACTGTAAAAAAAGTTCAGCATGGCATGCATACATACATTGGAAAAAAATAATAAAATAAAAATTCGCCCGCCCGCACCAATTTCACATGGGTCCTGCCCGGGAATCTCGATTTTATTTTGGTCTCGCCTAACGACACTTTGTGAATAACGACACTTTTCTGATGCCCCGCCGAGTGTCGTTATAAGCGAAGTTGACTGTACCATGATTACCAGTAGAACTACCCCGTTACGTAGATCTACTCAAAGAACTAACTAACGTGTTAGTTTATTGAAAATCCATGATAAATGTGATCGGAAAGATGATCTCGTAGATCTACTGGCCCTAGTCTGACTCTACAGACAGTCTACTTTAGCCGCGTGCCGCGTGGCATGCAGTGATCACTGATCATGTCTTCATGGTGATTGGTGATCTTCCCTCTTTACGAAATCCTGGATCCGCCCCTGATGTAGGCTCAAATGTCAAACGAGCTGGAAGGAACCATGATGCTGCGGAGCTGAGTGTTTTCGGCGTCTTGTCTCGACACCAAAGTAAGGACATGATCTACATGCTTTTCTCCTGTTACTAGTGCAGTAGTGGCGTTTTCTGTAGGTGTTGTTATTGGCGTTCTTCATGGCGTCACACGGCCGGAAACGTGAATCATAGTAGATCTACAATATGTAACATGTACTCCTACAATATTCGGCATCGGATTAACACCATTGACAATCCAGAGGCAGAGTCCGACTGGTTCATGCCGGTATATCCGGGATAAAGCACCCAGCATTGACCAGATTGATATGATCCAGTGGTCCCTCTGGTTCATGATGGTATACCCGGGTTCGAACACGATAATCTCGACCCTCATCAGTGTAATGCTACTGAGTCTGTGAGCTCATACCAAGCATGTAGAGCGCAGCCGGAACCACCTCGAAAGACAGTAGCTCATGCTACGCCACAAAAGTCATCGGACAATCGTTGGGAATGGGTTTTCAAGCTTGCCTGTGAACCGAGAAGTCGCGGATTCGAGCCCGGTCCTTCACATCTGACTGCAAATCCCCATGGACATGGCCAAGGCAAGAGTAGATCTACTCTTGACATGGCGCAGCTCACCAGATCATTATGACTGTGGAGGTCCTCTTCACTCAGTAGAGACGAACCGAGCGAGCTGTACTCCGGTGCCGAGAGGCGGGCTCACATCCCAGTAATATGACAACTACTTCCATGTCTAACCCCAAGATGAAATGAATAGAATAGTTGTACCAGGAGTAAATTAACTTATCAGTATACTCTTGGCAATGCGCAGTAGCAAGAGTACATTGACTCCAAGAGTGCACGAATGCCTGCACAACCTCCCCACAGTGCTGTGACGGCAGAACTTCACACCACACGACTTCTGATTATAATCTTTATGTTGGTAGTAGTCATGCGGGCCGAAGTTGGACTATTACGTATCTCCCTGAAAGACTAGGAGAAGTGGTGTTCTGTTCGACAAATTCCAGCCGGACCCCTCTCTCTCTCTCTCTCCCTCCCTCCCTCCTCTCTCTCTCTCTCTCTCTCTCTCTCTCTCTCTCTCTCTCTCTCTCTCTCTCTCTCTCTCTCTCTCTCTCTCTCTCTCTCTCCCTCTCTCTCTTCTATCCCTCCCTCCCTCTGCCTCCTTCCCTCCCTATGGCAAGTTCTAACGTTATAGCAAGGTACAGTATTATGATAGTGAGCCTGCAAGTTGGGCACACCGGTATGCAATAGGTATGTCAAAATTGTGCTCTTCGCTGACTGACTACAACTGTGCTGATGATGATCCCGGTGACTCTGGTCAACTTAGGAAGTGTGTTTATGTTCTAGCGTGTCTACTGCAGGTGTTGATTGCAGGAACTCAGTCCAATCAGTGATACATCTGTAACAGTTATAACAGGTCTGTAGCCAGGGGAGGCAATTAAAAAAATAATCCAGTTGCGATTATCGCCCCGCAGTACGTGCACAGAATATGTTGGGCACCGACTACAATAGCTCTCAGTCTCCATCTCATATTGTCCTGTCCTCCTAGGAATCCAAGGATTTATACTGAAGTAAGAATACTTTGCCACTACAACTGTCCGCCTCACCGGCTGCAAGGTAAAGCATACAGTACTTGGGTTTCCCGCCATAGCATTCAGTCAGCACATACTCTGCGATCAAGTATTCACGAAATGTACAGAAAGGAGGAAAAACACAGTTCACAGTGGCTCAAGAAAAGAAGAAAAAGAAGAAAAAAGTTCAAGCCACTAGTCACTAGGAGTCCATCAGTATGTGAGGTGGTAAGTGGGACAGTCCTGAACCCGGAAAACAATCCGAAACGTATGATTTGGTCATTTTTCACATTGGTGAGTTGGGGATAATCAGAAAAAAAGGATATTTCTTGATCTCAGTGCCAAAGCTGCTGAGCTGCTGAACTGCATTGGCCAGGGATTGATGGAGGGACTAAATTCCCCTGAAGCCATGCAAATACACTGGATATGCTCGAGGTCTTCAGTACTGATCTGAAACCAGCCAGCAGACAGTGTCTTTGTTTGGCAAGGGCCATCAGTGTTACTGGTCACAAGTTACCACCCTATTTTAGATAAAACAGTGTGACTCATGAAACTGTAGTGACTGCGACAGTGAAGGACCCGGAAGAAAGTTGAGACCTTCGGATCTACAGCCTTATTAAGTCCTGCGAATGTCACAGGGTAATATTGCGTGAGAGCGTAGGCTGGGATGCAGGTCTGTTGAAGCAAAATATAACACCAAGAAGAGCAGGAGCGAGAGAGAGAGAGAGAGAGAGAGAGAGAGAGAGAGAGAGAGAGAGAGAGAGAGATAGAGAAAAAGAGAGCAAGCATTAATACAAGGAAACTGCTTCACCATGTGGACCTCATAGCCACACACTGTTTGACACTTACAGTAGCCAATACCAGGGCTAGCTGGCTGTGGACTTCTTCTTAGTTATGATATTTCCTGCACATATTTTACTTCAGTTTCCCACAGGTACATATCAAGGTTATATTGCTATTGCCAATAGAACATTCAATAACTATTATTGTTTCCAAGGCACACAAAAAGGCACAGAGGAGTTTATAGAGTTTGTTTCAACTCCAAGTTTCTTGCTCAATGCAATCATCAGGCCGGCAAGTGGTCGAGCCCCGCTGGCGAAAGGGAACCTATCTGTTTCCACGGCACGGGGTTTATCTAAATGGTTTCGCAAGAATGCATATCCCTGTACCCCCTTACCAGAAGCATGCAAAGAAGGTGTTTGTGAATCTCTTCTATTGATCAGTACTTTGGAGTATATCCCGTATTTTGGTACATGTGGACCGTGCCTAAAAACTTCCACTGCAATCGAGCGTTGAGAATTTTCATCGACTGAACACACAAGTCGTAGCATGTCTTATCCGTGTATCTCCAAAGCGGCTTTGAATGTTCTTTGGGCTGTAGAAAACTATTGGAGGACCCTGTCTGATGCTTTGATCGTAATTTTACCTTAGATAATATACCGCATTTCCCCGAATATGAGTCGCAACTTTTTACATTTGACTTCAAAGGCAGATAAGGGGATGAGACTTACAATTGAGCGTGACTTCCTTGAAACCATACGGAGCAGGCCTGAAAATAGGGCTGCGGCCTATAATTAGTGACTTTACTCCCTCGCACCCAGACGCTGATTTTTTGGAAACAAGTTTCTATACTTCCGATGGGAGAATCCGACATGGCAGTGCATTTCGGCGTGGCCAAGTCAAATTGTAGAATATCGCATCGAGTGAATGGCTTTATCTGAGACTCGGAGGAGATGTTCGTGCCCTTGAGACCCGAAGTCCCGTTTCCATACGACACAATTTAGGAGCTCTGCGCTCAGCGCTTTTTCAGGGTATGAATTTCTTGTTGTTCTGGTCGGGTCGCAGCGTCGCGGACTATTCCATCGTCTTCAGCGTCGAAAAACTACTGGCCACGTGAAATTACAAGGCGGTGGGACGCTTTCGTCTTCCTCTACGAGCGAATTTGTTCTGCGTCAGCATACCAAAGTATGCAATTTCGTACGCGCAGTTCGAGTGACGAGGCGTGTGCACTGTACACTGTACTGCATGCACTGACCGTGCGGTCGTTCTCGATTCTCCCATCACTCCCATTCATTTCTGTTTCCAGCAAAAGTCCAACTTGGCGCACTTCAAATCACTATAACTCAAGAATGGCTGGGCCGATTTGAATAATACTTACAGATTTCCTATGTACTACGCCTGGGAGAATCGAATGAGACCAAAATCGAAGCGATCGGAGCAAGTTTTGGAAATTGGGTGTAGTCACTACTATAATTGAGTGCGACTTATAACCGGGGAAATGCGTTAGCACTTTGGCTACAGAGTATAGATATACGGACGGCTCTTGGGGTGTGTTCCATGGAAATTCAGCATGCACTAATCCGGTTGGAATGTACACACCATTGCACTTGTAGTTGACGCGCGAGAAGTGAGCGTACTGCTGATCGTAGGCAAATATGCCCACTTTACCGCCATTCAGGCGGTACCGTGGATCGGTGTCCAGTAGTTCGCCGGAGTCGATCACTTTCCGCGGACCCTCGTAAATGATCAGCCTACAACAGGTACAGACAAACGACGTGTGGTCAAGCAAACACAGTAACGGCATAGCCGGATAGGCCACATATCACAAAATCCCTTCCTGCTACCGTTTTCCCAGAGTATAAACCACACCCAGATTTTTGTCACGAGATACAGACATCTCCCCTGTTTAGCACCGGCGCTGATGTGACCATCGCAGCACGTGACGAGCTGCAACGATTTTGTTTCGGGTGAATGGCTGGTGTTTAAAGTGCGGCTTATACTCCAGAAAGTACAGTATATCCAGAAAGTACAGTATATCCAGAAAGTACAGTATATTCACTGTGAACCCAACCCGCATTCTGTGTTGACCAACCATTCTGTGTTGACCAACCATTCTGTGTTGACCAACCATTCTGTGTTGACCAACCATTCTGTGTTGACCAACCATTCTGTGTTGACCAACCATTCTGTGTTGACCAACCATTCTGTGTTGACCAACCATTCTGTGTCGACCAACCATTCTGTGTCGACCAACCATTCTGTGTTGACCAACCATTCTGTGTTGACCAACCATTCTGTGTCGACCAACCATTCTGTGTCGACCAACCATTCTGTGTTGACCAACCATTGCTAACAATGCATGAAGCATACTAATCATTATGGTCACTCCTTCCGAATAAAACACACCGTTGTGTGTGTGTGTGTGTACAGTGCAAAGTTGGACTTGCCAACAGCATCATGTTATAGGGTACATGGTGGCATGTGTGTAGGCGTTAAAGAGTAGACAATGCCCCGATCCAGTGCAACAGTCAAGTAGATAGCGCAATACCCTGTAATTTCAAGATGTATTCAATGGGTGCAAATTTACACAGCAATGCACCCCCCCCCCCCCAAAAAACACCCTTACCCAACCCAACCCTTAAGCCCACACCACTCACCTTATCACACCCTCCACTGGCCGATGCTGAATCTCCCAGCGATACGTTTGCCTATGGAGCCAGCCCCTCTGCAGTTTGATGTCGCTCCAAAGAACTTTGGAAACCAACTCACCGTCCTGATCGACGAGGTCATTGTCAGACCAGAGAGCCTCCCGCAAGGTACCGAAGCTGGTGGCTGATATGCGCTGCATTGAAATGTGACATTTGAGCGGGGGCATCTTATAACAGTGACTGCACGCAACAACTTCTACCATAGAATCTTGCGGATAAGCCCACCCGCGTATAAGCCCATGCTCGCACATAAGCCCAGGGTTAGTTCGAACATCACAAAGCTTCATCGTACAAGCCCATGGGCCTAGGTCGTACCATATACGTAGGTTTTGTTTGTTTGTTGTTGTTGTACATTTCAACACAATCATCGGTTGTTTTTGTTTGCACAGTGGTTTTCAGCAATTCTCACTTCCTTGGTACTTTTCAATAGCGCTGGTGTCAGCGTATAAGCCCATGCCCGCGTATAAGCCCATGTTCTTGTATAAGCCCACTGAAATGTCCTTGTGAAACAGATAAGCCCGTGAGCTTATCCGTGGGATTCAACGGTATTGGTAGCGGATGCATCTCATGAGACAGTGATAGCATGCAGCAGCTTCTAATGCTATACCCGGATCTTCAGTTGCCCGGACAAGTTCTACAGAGAGAGCAACAAACCTGAGGATATAATACACTATCGGTTGGATTCAGTAAGCAGTCGATGTCCTTTGAACAATCGAAAGTGCAGACTGAGGGAGTCAAATTCATGATCTAATCATATATTTATGACTTTGTCGAACCGTCACGCGACTTTCCCTGTACAAAGTCGAAACATTTCCAGTACAGTCATAGTCTGAGTTTTATCAGCTGAGTTTTTTGGAGAGATCATGTGCGGCTTCATCCACAAATCATCGAATGTCTTCAGGATAGCCTGGAGTGTGCATCAATTCCAAATCCATGCACTCAAGGAAGAGTAGCTACAACAGCATTTTGTTGTCGGTTAGTCCCTGGCTTGGAGACAGTGTCTTTCACTTGTGGAGGTACAGGAAAGGATCCCGTCCCCGGCTCGTCAATGGACATATTGGTACCTTGAGCCCCAACCTAGCGGAGTGTGGAGGCTAGCTAGCTCTTGGCAAGGAAAGAAATATTCACATGATTATAAACCTTTGGTACAAATACAAGCTACATGCGTAGGTGTATACAATTTATTGTATGGTGTACAAGCTCCCATCTACCCCCTCGAAGTTACTAGCCCGTTTGACACGCACCCTTTCGAACCTAGATAATCTTCTCGGTATTAGGGGTCGTCCACAAATATCGATGTTTTTTTTAGAGAAGATATTCGTTCGTTTGGGGGGAGGGGGTTTGGGCCCTGTTCGTCTCGTCTTTGCAGAAAAAAATATCGAACTCTATCTATGGACGGGCGCTGTTCGAACATGTACAGTGTAGTTTATGACCTACACAAAATGAAAGTCAACCTCGTGAGCATAGCCATGGCAAGGTTGTGCGACCGTGGCAACATAAACCTAGGTGTATGGTGAAATTAGAGTGGCAGCTGGTCACGTTTCATGAGGAAATTGAACTTCATTAAAAAATATCGATCCCTTGCATAAACATGTGTATGTTCGTTTTGAGGGGGGAGGGAGGGGGGGGGGGGGTCTGGGGAGAAATGAACAAATATCGTCTTGAAAAAAACATCGATATTTACGGACGGCCCCTTAGCATAATATTATCTAGTCGAGGTGTTTTGTGGGACTTGGACTGCATACTGGGGATCCGATTCCTTATAGAGAGCAAGGGGCACATCATCTGACAATTTACAGGATTTATACTGTATACCGTACTCCCGACTGTCTATAGTGACCCAACTGCCTAGTAGGTCAAACATAATGATCATATCAACCTACACTTGAATGCTCAGTACATACACACCCAGCCACAACACGTGACCAAATCCAACCAGGCAATGACATCATTCCAGGTACAGCTACATCATACCCAACCATGCAATGACATCATGCATGTGCTAACTGCTAACCTTTATCATCACACTGGTACTGGATAGGACACTTCTCCCGCGAAATTCCCGACGCTCGGCCGTCCTTTTCCAGAGGGCCACGTAAAAGTTCTGAACGCTCTGATAGCTGAACACAATGCCGATGAAGCCGTCGCCATCGTTTGAGTTGACAAACACATCGGACGAGAACGTTACATTGTTAAAGGCAAATCGACCTGCATGAACATGCCAAGAAGTAACAGTTAGCGAGAGAGGTGCATCTCGAATCACAAAGCGAGATCAGCCTTGGCATGAGGAACATTGGACGAGCAACGGCATGCATACGTTTTTGGAAAACTGCGGCAAATTACAAATACTGTAAGAGTTGAATCTCTAACGGGCACACTTTCAACTCTTACAGTATGCTACGTGTAGCATTGGATACACACAAGGGACAGTTGAAGGAAATTGGTCTCTACTCAGAGATACCGTATTTTGTACTATTTTCCGGAGCATAAGTCACACTTTTAACACTACTAATTCACCCCAAAAGGGGAGAGGGGCGGGGGTGGCTTATACTACGATTGTCAAATACAAATAATTTAATTAATTAACGGTGATAAACAGAGCAAATGTCTGTACTTTGTGCCGAAAAACCCTGGTGTGGCTTACACTCCGGAAAATACGGTAGATAAGCTTCTCACTAGATTTCACACTTAGGTATTAACGTAAGTAAAAATACAGCAGTATACGGTAGATAAGCTTCTGACTAGATTTCACACTTAGGTATTAACGTAAGTAAAAATACAGCAGATGAACAAGGACACATATCACGAGTCACTGATCCAATTCAGGCACAATTCAGGCACTTATGCACAGGTTTATTCATTAAAACTCCCCTCCCCCCCCCCCCCCCATCCCTGATACCGGTATGCAACACATTACTTCGACTCGGTGAAGTACACCACTACCCATCACGGTAACGCTAATCACTAGAACATGTATGATTTCCATCACACCATCGCGCTGAGCGGTTATGCACCACCTTCCCGCCAACGTGCAAGGCCGGGGTACCGTATTTTTCCGGATATAAGTCGATCTTTATGACCTACATGAAAAAATTGAAAAATGTGAAGTCGCCTTACACTGTCACCGACATTGAAACGGTAAATTGAGGCCCAAAGTATTGGGGTCGAATTACAACTGGTGAAATACAGTATGTATCGTAAATTCTTGTATAAAAGCCACACTTGAATAGAAGCCGCCCTCGAATAGAAGGCGCAATTTTGGGCCTATCAAATCACACATAAGCCTGGTTTTAGTGTTGACATACATAGAAATACCTGTCTTGTATAGAAGCCTGTCTCATATAGAAGCCTGCAAAATTTCACCAAGAAAGTCATAGAAGTCGCGGCTTTTATACAAGACTTTACGGTATAGGCAATCATGATCAATTTGAAAAAGTCTCTTGTGCCTGTTAAACTCACTGATAATGACTGACGGGTCACCTGCCCGTGGCGTCTCCCACTCCCTCTCAACGACCAGTTCCCAGTTGGTGAGGTTATGTGCTGCAATGGCCGATTCTTCCAGTGTAATGCTGCGGTAGAGCTTGAAGTGAGTTTTCCAAATGACCGCGTTGTATGGACAAACATCCTCTTCATCAGGTGTCCCGTCGCCATCGTAGTCATTGTAACATGCCTCGCCGATGCTTCTATCTAGACAAGGAAGGGGCAGAAATGAGTAATACAGGACCTCTATAGTCTAGCCGTAGTGGGGGACAGTTACTAGTACTCTAACTAAAACTCATATCCATATGCCCCTTTCCTTTCTATATGACCTAGTATTCACAAAATTGATTTATCTCAGTACAATACACATGCATGCTATACTGCCCTGGCTTCTCACAGAAACTTGTCAAAGATCAAAAGGCCAACATTGCATTGTTGCAGCAAGCAGAGATAAGCAGAAATCAAACAAGAATCGATAGGCATTACGTTTTCGCTTTTCAAACTGCAATGTCACTAGCAAAATGACTTACTGTATCGCGATGTGGTTTGAAGCGGATTAGGGACCAATATACAGTTATCCTCACTGTCCGGTATCAAATCGTTGTCATCATCCTGGTCACATGCGTCGTTCACTCGATCACGCACCCCATACCCACGGTCGTGGTCGGCCTGAGCGGCATTGGGTGTGCATGGGCACACATCCTTGTCGTCCTGGATACCATCTCGGTCTCTGCAGCAGAGATAGAATGTGCATCCATGAATTTAACAAGTAGTAGCCGAGGGATAAAAAAATAGAGAAAGAATGCATCCAAAAGTTTAACAATCAGTACTGTAAAACCGGAAAGTTTAACAATCAGTACTGTAAAACCGGAAAGTTTAACAATCAGTACTGTAAAACCGGAAAGTTTAACAATCAGTACTGTAAAACCGGAAAGTTTAACAATCAGTACTGTAAAACCGGAAAGTTTAACGACCAAAAAGTATACTGTAAACCGTGAAATTATTGCGATGGTCTAGTTTCTGCGAAATTCGCGACCGCGTGGAAATCGCGAAATTTAGACAGCGCGAAAAGGAGATCCATGAAAGGTTTAGCAAGAATGCTACAGGTTTAGCAAGAATGCCATTCTGCAATCGCAAAATTAAAACCTCGTAAACCTGTCCGTATTCTGAAAACGCCGCAAAAATTTCATGCTTTACAGTAACGTTTTTGTAATTTTGGCATGATAACGCGCAGAAAGTTTAACGATGGCTGCCTGGCCACCCAGAACATGCATCAATGTATGCGCATTTTTACACACCGGGTTCGCCATAACGTTTCTTCAAATAACGGAAAAAGTGGTCGTTAAAACGTTAGACTTTGTGGCTCGTTAGACTTTCCGGTTTTACAGTACTCAAGGGATAACATCTTACTCCATCCAAAGGCAAACCGTGAGCTCCTGTACTGCCTCCTGTTAATTAATGTGCACAGTTGAACCAAGGGTGGCCGATATCATGTGACCAATATAGACAGGGTTTAAGAGGGATTGTAACCAACAATGCGTCTTGTAACCAACATGGTTGTCTTCAAAGGCCGCGTGATAGATCTATAGGAAAATAATATTCGTTAAAGATTCCACGTTTCATCACAATTTTTCCGCCAATATGCTGTATAAATTGGCATCATTGTGCTTCGTCACGCTATCACCATGACTGTACTGATTTGAGAAGTAGTGGTACGGAAGGCCTCATCGGACTTTACAACTGGCTTCGTTTCTTCGTATCCTAATATGATCCCCCCCCCCCCTCCGACTAAGCTATAATTTAAAACGATTCTACATGGAGATTATTAACAAGGCACCAAAGGTCTTTATTCCCGTAGCTATGCAGAAGACGTTACTTCAGTAACGTCTGGCGCTAGCCAGGGTTCAAACAGCTTTAATTTGGTGTTTGTTTGTGTGTTTGTTTGTTTGTGTCACGCCTGGCGCTATCCCGTATCTGTCCCGTACTGTACCGTACCAGCAAAGACAGCTGGCCACAATATTTTTGTTTGTTTGTGCCAACGACATGCCTGGCGCTATCCCGTACCTGTCCCGTACCATCAAGAGTACGGTACCATCAAGAGAATGAGTACCGTACTGGCAATATATGTTGCCGCGCAACGCGTAACGCAGGGGGGTGCGGCGTAACGCGCGACCAGGCTAGTGCGACAAATTTTCGTTGCGTTCGTAACGCGCGTCCGGCGGGGTGCGGCGATCTTTTCATTGCAAAAAAGGCTGAAATTGTGAAAGCACGTGTACCGCGTGGTGAAAAGTTCAATACTGGACGCAGCAGGAAGTCCTGCAATAGCAAAAAAAGGACTGCGGCAATATAGAAACCTGTGTAACGGCTCCTGTGCGACTTTGCGTGTAACGCCCTGCGTGCGGCAAACATGTGCCAATGTAACGCTTCATGGCCTCACTGCGGCAACATATATTGCCAGTACGGTATATATGCGAAGTGTATCGGGGGAATACATTCAGTGCAGTAACATTTTGTGTGGATTTGTGTGCGAGGCCGAGATCCCACTAGCAGGCTGGCTGGGCCGCCTGTCGACCAGCCCGGGAATCGCATGTAGGCCGATAGCATAATAATTATAACGTATATACAGTCATTTAGATGTATAGCAGGAAGTCATTATTATGTAAACGACTCCCTGCTGTATGGGGAGATTTTCTGGAAAGAAATACGAAGTAGGGAGACGAGTAAATGCAATCAGAATGGATGTTAGTTGCCGTCAGTATAATAATAATAAGAAGAAGAAGAAGAACGCCCGTGATCGGCAGAGTCAGCGCCGGTCCCAGGAAACGTCAGGACAGACATCCCGTCGACTCCAGAACGCCCGTGATCGGCAGAGTCAGCGCCGGTCCCATAGCTATGCAGAAGACGTTACTTCAGTATCTCATTGAAACGTTTTTGCAATACAATGATGTAGCTAATCAAAGGAAAAAGCATTTCCATCAGTTCTAACAACATGCACGATACGCTAGGCAACAAAGCATAGCGCAGGGCCCTGAGCTTCCAAGCTCTCTCGTTAAAGGGGAACTGTCACCAAACAATTTCTTTGTCTTATCTTGTAGTTCTTTGGCTCCTGATCACGATGGTGTTATTTGTTTTTCTCTGCGATGACTGGAAGTGGGTGAAAACTTGAAAAGAAGGTGCCCAAAATTGTCCCGAAGTACCGAGTGACGTCACGCCGGACTTGACCTCCACGCGTACATTCGTCGTCAAAATCGAAGTCCAGCCCGTGTGCTGATCGATCGAGCTAGCTGTTCCAATGTACGGTGCACGTGTGCCTTTTGAACTGTAACACAGATGGGTACATCGTACCGAAGGAGAATGCCAAAGAGGCAGAGACCCACGTGCAGCTACACAGCCAAATCAAAGTAAAAGGAACTGAGCTTTCACCTTTTTGACTTCTTCTTATTCCGCGAGGATCTAAGTTTTATTTTGTGAGCACGGAAGTCGTTGTTGTTTTGAACTTTTCGTGTGAGGAACAACACGATGATGAGTGCGTATGCAGAAAACAGTACTCCTCCGGCCGGCGATAACACCACCAACCCGAGCCCCAAAGGAACGCGATGTAGGTACGTGAAGGCGATTCATCTGGCGATGTTGCTGAAGATGCAGATGACAAACTCTGACGTCTTTCATTTCAGAGCCGGGTGGGCAACACCGCCACCTTCGATACAACGACATAATTTTCAAGTACGATGTATGTGTGTCACACTAACAGCAAACAAACATCCTTCGACTCCTTCGTAATCACAAATAAAACAAAGAGCTGGAGCTTCGTGGAGGAAGTACCAGTGCGACAAACTGCTGTCGACTTCTGTTTATTTTGTCCCTTTTTGGCGTTCTCATTGTGTACAACGTACACATCGAGTGTCCGAGTTCAGAAGGCAAGCGTGCACCGTACATCGAACAGTTGGCTCGATCGACCAGTACACGGGCTGAATGTGTTTCGTAATTACTAACACAAAGACCCAACATCAGCCACCCACCCTTGTGTTGTCACCAAAGGTCTTTATTAAAGTTATGAATGTGTTTCGTAATTACTAACACAAAGACCCAACATCAGCCACCCACCCTTGTGTTGTCAGCTAGAAGTGTGTGCTTCTTTCACATTGACTGAATATTTGAAATAAACGAGAAGCATTGTTCTTTCAAATGACAAACATCTGCGATTCGTGTTTTTTTTTCTCTTTCTTTTTTCAATTTTTATGCTGGTGGCATGGTAACAACATGGGAGGTCGTGCAAGCACTGAAAAGCGCTTGCTCAGTTTGAATCCATCACTTTTTTTGTCTTGCATTGCAATATGGCTGTCCACAGTCAACCCTGCACTAGTTATGGCTGATGTGAGGTGTGAGAAAGAAGTTCCCAGCACTGTATAGGTGTTGTCAATACACACTGCACAGGCCCGAGGAAGCTATCCGTCAGCACCGGACTGTCTCACCTGTCTTCTCCCGTGTCACATGCATCTCCTGTTCCATCCTGATCCTGGTCTGCCTACACAGTGACCACATACGGCAAAAAATGACAGTGGTAGTGAAGTAAGCGTGATGCAGCCAGGCAGACACTCCCATCGGTGAACCGAAGGTCAGCTACACACTGGGTGGCTCAATGCCAGCTCCACCGCTCGGTTTCTAGTGCCCTGCAATGCCAACCAACACTTATCCTTCCTCTGCGGGTTGTGCACGCATCTCATGTATACGCAGTACTGTACTGGTATGCGTCAGTTGGGTAAAATGATATTCATGATATTTTAGACCGGCTACAATGCATGAAAATTGCATTTGGCTGGATAATCTGTTCTGAAAAGACAGTCTTACATCCGGTCACTCTACGAGCCGATACAGATAAGACTGAAACGGCACAGGAGCTGCTTCAGGTCTACAGTAGTGTTGGAATGGGTCAGTGTGTACCTAGCACGGCTAAACTGAGCGTCTCAGAATGGGTCAGTGTGTACCTAATACGGCGAAACTGAGCGTCTCAGAATGGGTCAGTGTGTACCTTATACGGCTAAACTGAGCGTTTCGGAATGGGTCAGTGTGTACCTTATACGGCTAAACTGAGCGTCTCGGAATGGGTCAGTGTGTACCTAAAACGGCGAAACTGAGCGTCTCGGAATGGGTCAGTGTGTACCTAATACGGCTAAACTGAGCGTCTCAGAATGGGTCAGTGTGTACCTAATACGGCATGACTACGGCATGGACACTGTGCTCCTATTATTGCAAACTACCTTTGCTCTGCAACCATACCAGAGACTGGGTTGTTACCGGGAACCTGGAAATATATTAGAGAAATGCTGCACTGAACTGAACGATAAACTTACCTACTTATTGGTTTGAAGGAAAGAAGCAAATGGGAAAAATGACTGTCACCACCAGGATTCGAACTAGGGGTATTCCCTTATGGCCAACCATGCTCTACCATTAATTACCTGGTCGGGATTTATGGCCAACCATGCTCTACCATTAATTACCTGGTCGGGATTTATCTGACGATCACAGTTATCACAGTGATCACCGACTCCGTCACCATCTTGATCTTCCTGGAATCTGTTCACTACAAGCCAGCAGTTGTCCCGGCTATTTGGTCGGCCATCACCATCAGCATCATGTTCACATACGTTCCCTTCATCCCCTGGAAAGAGGTCACCCTGGTCCGG